GCAAGATCTTGCGGTTTCCCCGCCCCTTGGCAATATTGAGTTTTTTTAACATTTTTCTTAAATGTTTATTTTTTTTCTATTTAGAAATTTAATCTTTATATACAGGGTGGCCTATAAATAATAGCATAACGACAAGAAGTTTAAATATTTCTACTTCTGGTCATTCAAAAGGATTCAATTTTTTTCATTCGGATAATGTAAATAAATCCAACTGTTAAGTGTTTCAATTGACGTCAACAAAGCAACTTTACTAGTTGTCAAGTAAAAAATTACATATGAAATATTGTGTAGATGACTTTTAGTTGTCGTTTGACAGAATGACTTGAAAAAATTCAAATAAATCTGCTGAATGATACTATATGGATGACATTGAGAGAAATTTCTCAACCAGTCAATTTGAAAGTTAGCAATTACAATGTTTCGAAGTCTCAGATGTGGAACACTGATTTTTGTTGAAAACTTGCCAACTGGGTAACTAAAGGCTTTCAGATACGCGTTTTAGTTATCAAGCACTAGTTCCAGTATTCAAAGTAGCTAGTCCAGAAAGTTTTCTATATGTACATCAATGTAGTATCGTTTAGAAGATTTGTTTGAATTTTTTCAAATCATTCTGTCAAATGATAACTAAAAATCATCTACACAATATTTCATATGTGGTTTTTTTACTTGATAACTAGTGAAGTTGCTTTGTTGACGTCAACTGAAATACTTAACAGTTTGATTTACTTACATTATTCAAACGGAAAAAAATTGAGGAGAGTTCTATTACCAACCAAAAAATGAGCCCATTTGCATGAACAGAAGTAGAGCCATTTAAATTTCTTATTGTCATGTCATTATATGTAAGTCACCCTGTATTTAAATTATGCCTTTTTATCTCAGGAAATATAATAGTAATCATGAAAAGTTACTAAAAATTTCATGAATAAATGACTTCTGACGACAGACTTTAGACGGGGCGGGGCGGTGACGGTTTTATTGTTGAATAGGCGGGACGGTGACGGTGCGAAACTTTATCAACGGGACGGGACGGTTGCGGTGTGACTTTTTGGCTGGCTCGCTCATCTCTGTACTGGAAGATATTGTTTAACAGGAAATTTTTTTTGTTGTATAAGTGATGTCCATAATTGTAAATAATGTTGACGAAGAAATGCTGTTTCATCATGTACTTGTTCCTAATTTAATGTTTGAAGCAAAAAACAAAAAAATTATCCATTGAAATAAAAATTAAATGAACTTACACGTAGTTTTTTTAAAAGATCATCACGCATTTTTCTTTGTCCATCATCTAATTCATCAGATGAAAGAAGTTTTTCAATAACAGAACATAATGCTGTTAAAGCAGCAACACGAATATGATGACTCTAAAATAATGAAATTGTTTATATTGATTCTTAATATATATTATACGGACAACATCTGGAAATACAGGACATGATCATCTTCAATTCTTTTTAGAGTTCATTCTTTTGAACAAGTTCTCTTCCCATGAATATAGGTAAAAATATAAGCTCATACCTAATTAAAATTAATTACAGTGTAATTAGTGAATAACACTCTAACGTTATGACGAAGAATCTAAGAATTTTAGAATCCAGATCAATAATTCAGACGTTCAGATACGTGAATTTCTGGTCGGAAAACTCGGAGAATGTTACAAACTTGGAAGCAGAAATCTAATGATCGAAGTTTTCTAGTTCTGGTTGTAACTGGTCACCGAATTCTTACTGCCGAATTCCTACCATTATTTCCTGAGTTTTACCATTAGAAGCAGTCTGTATTTCTTGACTCAGGAATAGACTCCACACCATAACCTATATTAATCCCTGAACAAGAGTTTTTACTATTTAGAATTGGTTATTGAAGTTCTTATTCCATTATAAGAAGTTTTTTTGTTTCTATATTCGTATTAACTTCTGTCATCAACAATGAATAAACTCAACTTTTTGAAAAACTTTCCATCTAAATTTTGTAGCGTGAAAAAGGTTCTACAAAATACACGATTTAGTTTTCAAACATATTCTTCGAGATTGTAGTATTTGTAAATGGCAACGCACGCAGTGAAAACTATTGTCCTTTTTATGCCATTCTACTAATTAATAACTCAATAAAATAAAACTCTATGGGGCTGACTTTTTGCAAGTATCTAAAGTAACTCAACATATATCTGTTACATAGAAATTAGCAGAAAGAAATTTCAGAACTCATACATAAATGGGATTTTTATTTTGCGACAATACGTCACTACTGAATGAAATTACATTTTTATTCATAAAAAAAACGTAAGTATAAAACAATTGGCTGAATCTAGTTTTGAGAAGAATTCATACGAATTTTTCTTGAAGATTTCATATAGATTGAACTATGCTTGCCATCAATCTTTACATTAATTTGTATCGAAGGTAAAAGCAGAGAACTTGAATAGTAACAGTGTAGTAGTAGTTCGATCTTTTCAATCTGACGAACTGTTGAACAGTATTTGTTTCAAGGCTACTTGGAAATCATCCCTGTAACTCTTCGAATTCTACTGTACACTTAAAAAACGTTGCATGTAGTATTCTGACAACGGCACAGCTGCACAATCTATGACTTTTAAAAGTTTTATAATGTCTTTTGGAGTGTTTCAACATTTTATGACTCTTCTACTACTCTTGAAACGTACCAGTCAGAATGTCCAAGTAATTCTTGAAAAGTACCATTGTAAGATAGCTTCGAATAAGTTGAAAGTACTACTCTTAGATAGTCTACTAAACAAAAAGGGACAACTATTAGCCGCAAATAGCTTTCGACATACGTTCTTTTGATAAAATTGATCTACGAGAACTATATATTGTTGAGGCTACATTGTTCTGAAGGACGATATTCTACATTTTTTTCAAATCATCAAGGACTCTCGAAGGATAAAAGTAATTCTTAAGTCAAAGCACATAGTATCTATCTAAGATCCTAAACTATTATTTAAAAGGTTCACTTGAACTATTTAGAACGATGAATATCTACGTTGAATATATTCGATATGATAGTAATTGTTATATTGTTTTGAAACTTACTTCAGCTGTTAATAGACCAGTTATTTGATGAATATGTGTTCGAATAATATTTGGATCAAGTCTAGCCATATCAATAATAAATGTAGAAATGGTTTTAGCAGATGCATTATCAGCTTCTGCAGCAACAAAATTAGTTTCACGAATTTCTCTATATAAATTGAAAACTGTTATTCAAAAAAAA